CAGAGCAGTAAGCAGTGTACTTTGGATGCTGAGCCATGACCCCAGTGACAAAATATCCCGTGGGCTTCGCAGTTCTGAACAAAGCTGTAGCCTTTGCTCCCTAGCAGCTGCTGCTGGAAAGGAGAGAATGGAGGAAGGTTTGCCAAAAGATAAGGCACAGCACTTTGTCTCCTTAGATCTGCAGCTACGAAAGATTTAACCTTGCACCGTGTACCTGCCTGTCCTCTAATAATTGTCTAGGTTGAAGATTCTTCAGTCGCACTAAGAAGTTGTGTTTTTTGAAGCCGTAGAAAAGAAGTCACCGCACGGCTGGGTTGCTAAGGCGCAGGAGTGAGGAGTGTTTTAGCTGTACACTGTACGTGCGGGAGTTAATGCTCTTAATTTCTGACACATCAACCCTCTTTGCCTCCTTTTATGCCTCCTCCTCTCTTTGTTCCTTATGGTACATTTGGGTGAAGCAATCAGGCCCCGAGTGAAAAGTCCCCAAGTAGAGTGTGCACAAAACACTGCATCTTTTAGCTGATGTGGTGATGGGCCCACAGGGGCCAGTCTGAGCTGTTCCACCTTCACCCACCACTGCTCCTGTCTTGATAATGAATTTCTAAGTAACCTTCAAATATTAAGTGCAAGCAGCTTGCAAAGAAGAACATGAGGTAACATGGAGCGGTGCGTTGACATGAACAACAGCTGACTTCCTGACACTAAACGCCAGGTCAAAACATGGAGTGGAAATGCTTAGATCTGACTGCTATCAAAGATAAAACCCTTTACTGTAAGCAATCCACAGTGAATGTGTGTTTCTCTAGAGAGCCTTTGCTCAACTGGAGCAGCAGTCTACTCCTAGCTCTCAGGGACTTTGCTTTAGCCAGGGTATGTGGGCTAAGGAGGGACTGCTAGCGCACAAATAGGACAAAAGCAGCTGCTCCCCGCCCCAACACACACACAGATTTTGGGGACAAAAGGAGTGATGGCAGTGGTGAAGGCTCAGCACTGGGAGATTTCCAGCAGAGCTGTGGACAGAGCTGGGACCTCCAGTATAATGCCTGCTCAGTGTCCCTCGTAAGAAGCCCAGCAAGTGTGCCCCTGCCTGGGGGCTGCACAGCCCCAGGCACAATTTAGGCTTTTTTTATATGAACCAGGTACAACCAGCTTGCAACAAAGACTCTTGGAGGAGCAGGCTAGAAAGCTCTCGGGACCAAGGGTAGTAATTTTGAATAAATTTTAGAAAAAAAAGGAGGATCCCAGGAGAGTGAAAGAAAGCTATACTGTAAGAGGGGGTAAGCTACAAAGTCACAGAGCCATTAACCTTTTGATCACTGCAGGAACACTATTAGTGTGGATGATAGCAGACTCATTTCTAAAAGTGGTGATACAATTGATGCCTGCTGACATGTTTTAATGGAAAAATAGGCTTTGACTAATGAACTTAATGTTTTATTAGGTCTACCTCATAAAAGGTATGTGGTGGTGAAATATATTTCTAAATGAATATGGCTTGCTATCAATATTTGGATCAAAATATCATAAAATCTGTATTAAATGGACTTAAACTGGCTAAGCAAGAGATTCCAGAGTGTTTTTAGTGTTGGTAAAGCATCGGTGTGTAGGCATATTTTGGACTAGTTTGTCGTCCAGTGTTGTTCAAAACTTTTGTAGTGATTAAGAAGAAGTGTTTAAGGGGCTATTAATCAAGATGGCTGATGAGTTAGAGATTTGGGAAATTGGAGAGAAAATTACACAAATTGTAGCTTTTTCTATTGTTTGAGACTCTAGGAACAAGAACAATAGGCAAATAGACTAGTTATTTCATTAGCAAACTCAAACCAGGAGGAAAAAAAAAACTCCATTTAGGACCAAACAAGTCTTCCTTTGATACAAAATGATTTTTTTTTCTTCTGATTTTCCCAGCTGTCTTGATAAATAATAAGAGAAGTGGGCAACCCAGAAACTGGGGGTTGAAGCAAACAAGAATAACCCACCAAATCCTATTATGGTTCCTTCAGGAACCAACTGAACATGGACTTCCAAACACTTTGAAATTATGAAAAACTATTGCTGTTGTAGGTGCATGTGTAAGTGGCAAATACCTGAGACAGGTGGGAAAATTGTATGATGTGTGTGTTTGATGGTGTAAATTGTATGAAGTTGATGCTAGGGAACCTGATCCAAGAATATGCTGCATTCTGCAGAGAGGAGCAGGTTCAGCAAGAAACTAAACTACAAGAATGAGTGAAAGCAGGGAAAACCAGCGCTGCCTTTAATATTCCTCTTTGGCTTGGTCAAGAGAAGTAAAAAGGTGACTGGAGGTTACCTGGAGCTACATCCACTTGCAGAAGGTTGTGAGCCCCAAATTTATCACATGCCAGAGTGGTGAGTTATTCCTTTTGTCAGGTCTAAGTCAGGAAGAGATGTCTTCTCCAAAAAGGCTGTATCTTTGGACTGGGCTGTGAAGGCCATGTCTATGGTCGTATATGAAGCCATGCAGTGCATTGCAGAGACATGGGAAAGAATAATTTCCTCAGCCTGTGCTGTGGGACGCCGTTTCTGGGAATCCCAGCGCTGGTTAAGGGACTCTGTGGAGACAAACTTGGCCTTATCTACGTCTCTTAGAAAGGTCAGGCCACAGTTAGTGCCCTGGGAGAGGAAACGTGGCTGCCTGTGGTGTCAGGCTCAGGCACACTCTGAAGTGATTCGTCCAAACTCTAATCCAAATGGTATTTTCAAGGTGCTCGGCTCTCAGCTCAGTAGCAGTAATTCAATCAAAGCGCACATGTATGGGGAGAAGATGCAGCCCTTATTACCTGAAGGAAATCTTATCCCACTGATATGTTTTACCGGAGAAAAACTTGGTAGCGGGGGTTGGAGTGTAAGGGCTTTCATGCAAAGAGTGCTTGGAGTGGGGGAGAAGGAAATGGAAACTGGGGAGTTCAGCCCAGCCCCAGGCCCCCTCTCTGCAGCAGAGGCCAGCGCCTGGACCGCGGCACTGTGCCGCACACCCGAGCAGCAGTGTCACTGTGGCAGCTGCTCATGTGGGGCTTATAGCTGGGGCCCCGCACCCTGGGCAGTGCTTCCCAAGGGTGCGGGTGCCGCTCAGGGTCCTCGCCAACGCTATCTGCAGGGCAGATCGGGGGCCGGGTGCACTGGGATGGCGATGCCCGTGAGCAAGAGGGGCCACACCACCAGCCAGCAGGCCCTCCCAGCGCTCTGCCCAGTTTCTCGGGCACACTCAGGTGATTTGCTAACCTGGTCCCAAGGACCTTGGCTGTCTTTGCAAGACCAGTAGGGGTGGGAGGAAGATGAATGGGCCTCTGTTCGCCTCAGCCAGGCAGACTGGGGGAGAAGCTAATGACGGGAGAGGCTCTGTCTCAGCTGCACGTCCTCACAGCTCCCGTGTCATGCCCTTCTCTGTTTCCAGTGATGCAAAGCAGCCACCTTCCTTGTGTGCTGGTGTGTCCCACAGCACACTGCTCTGAGACAGGAAGGGACCAAGGCAGGAGAGATTCAGGCTGTTTGGAGGGAAACAGCCTCTAGTAGCTTGACTTTGGGCAATGACCACAGAAACAGCATCCCCCACACTCCCTGCCTCCTCCCACAGCCTTCTGCTTGCGTCTCCTGTACACTTGTGTATGGGAGTGAGGACGTGCGTGTGTGCAGTTATCCCCTAGCAATGCTGATAGGAGAGAAAGCTCTGTTTAATACCTTTGTCTCTAGCTGTATCTCCCAGGCTACAGTGAAGAATTTCTTGGCATTTACCAAGTGCTCCTCAGGTGTTTCTCTCTTCTGGTCAAGTGATATTTTAAGGCTGAAGCAATATTTTGCTTTAAACTGATCTTTAAAGGCCTGTAAAATTATACCAGCCCAGCATAGGGACATCAGATGCTGTGGCTAGGTTGGAGGGTGCTGACAGGAAGCTTGAGAGTCATTTGGGATCTTCTCCCTGCTTAGGGCAGAAACATGGTGAGTAACGTGGATTGTCGCCTCTGGGGACAAGCCTGCAGGGCCAGGAACCACCCTGCCTACCTTTAAAGCTGCCACGTCTTCCTGATGCATGCTCCTGTGGAGAAGGAGGGAGGATGATGCACAAGCTCTACCACCTTGACCTGGTGTCCAATATCCAGGGCCGTATGCTGCTTTCAGAGGACTGAGATTCCTCTCTGTCCTCTCCCATGGAGGCAAGGGGAGCGTGGCCTACTTGGATCCTTCCTGTCCCCCCCCAGCAACGGAGAGCCTGGCTGGGTAACCAGCAGGCTCAAAACCGCCAGAAATCCTCTCAAAGCAGGCACAGTTCTGCTTATTATTTTAATAACTTATCTTCCATTAGGGATCGGTACTTTCAAGTCCCAAGACTGTGGCTTTTGAGTAGAGGCAAATGTAAATGGAGAAGTATTGCAGCGATACCAGTGTATCCAAAGCAGCCACGTTCTCTACCTCCTGTATGTCTTTTTTCTACATATATACATGCACAGTCCCCAGATACAAGTGTGCTGGGATACGCTTATCACGTGCTTGTCATGCACCTCTTTGCGCTCAAGTACTGGTCTGCCCCTCAGAGCTTGTTCTTTCAGCATCACCACAGGTAAATATCCCCTTGGCTCTAGATTAAATCAGGACAATCTCATCTACAGGGGTAGTTCCCTGGAAATTTTCCATTCTTGTTTCCTTGGAGCTCCGGTTTCTGCATTTGCTGGGATTATGGGAGCCTTTAGTGTTTAAAATTGTTGTTTCTTATTTTTTCTTATTTGTTTTAAATAGAACAGAAAAATGAATGGAAAAACCCTCAAAGCACATCTCACTTCTCCAAATTGATTCTCTGACCCTTTTCCCTGTCTTTGACCCTCTGAAATCTCCTTCAACTTTTGCAACACAGGAAAACCCCAGGAGCTTTTTCTGTCCTCTTGAAAGATTCCGCCTCTGCAGCCAGACAGCAGGCTTCATTTCTGGTAAGGTTTTCAGTCCCACTCAGTCATTTATCTTGGCTTATACGTCACCAGCTTCCTCCTGGGTGGGCAGAAAGGGGACGGGTGCTGCTGCTGAGCTGTCTCCTGACTGGGTCACACACTGCTGCTGGGCTGTCTGGGGAAGGCTATAAAACAGAGCCAAACCAGTGCAGCTGGCTTAGAGAAGAGACTGAATTCTGCAGCCGGCAAAGGACCCGCACACAGCCTCTGCTGCCTCCTGCATTTTTTTTTCCTGGAATACAGAGCTGACCTTGGGAGCAAGATGTGCAAGGGACTTGCTGCACTGCCAGCCACATGCTTGAAAAGGTACTCTTTGTTTCTGAGCATCTGTTATGGTCCTGTTAGTCTGGATCTATGCTGATGTATTGCATTTTATGTCTGAAGCAAGAGTGGCAGGCTTGGCCCTGATTCTTCTGTAAGATTAGATACAAGTGATTGTTTTCAGGCTTTTTTCTATCAATCGGAAGCAGAATTGCATAAAGGTTTTGTACTGAGCTGTGGGAACTCTAAACCCACCTTTCTCATCAGCAAAATAAGCGGCTCCCAGCATTGCTGTGTTTTGATATCCCTGTCATCGGCTTCTGCCACAGGCTTTGCACTCCCCTTTTCCTTTGAAACCCCTTTCCCTAGTGAATGGAGGCAATTTGCTTTTCTTGGTTTTGAGGGGGAAGCAAGGTGGACAAGGTTTCACAAAAATGGAGGATGGTTCCCCAAAATCCACACCAAATGCAGGAGCTGAGCCTGGCAAGACCGGTGACTTGGTCACTGGAGACCTGGCTGCCAGCAGGCAGAGCACGGTGCGGACCAGCCCAGGGTACTGTGATGCTGCAGCCCTGGGTGCGGCACCAGCCAGTGTGGGGCCACTGTGGGGTCGGGCTGTACCCCCGGGTGTGGGGCCAGGCTGGTACGATGCTGGTACGATGCATGGTACTGCAGGGCCCGTGCAGGCCTGGGCCAGGCTGGGCTGTACTCTTGCCACGGCACCAGCTGGTGCAGGGTCGGGCTGTACGCTGGCGTGCTCTCAAGTGGGAAAAAAAAATCTCCATGTGTGGTAACTTTGAAAACATGCTGAAAAAGTGGTGAAAAAATATTGCCCTCTCCCCCCTGAAAATTTGCAGAAAACTTTGACAGAAAAAAAAAAGAGCATTTTTAAAAATCCACGGAAAAGAATTGACATCTTTTAACACCTGTCCAGGTATCCCCAGGATTCCCCATCTCAGAAAGTTGCAGAACTCACTGCAAACAGCAGTGCCTTGTTTCCTTCTGCTGCCTTCCTCCTGCAGAGCAGAGTGGTCTCGTTCTTCTCGTGGCAGGTAGCATTGCAGTGAGGGGCAGCCAGCCTCTGGCACTGCAGAGCTAGCGCATCCTCAGCTCCCCGTTTCTGCCTGATCAGGGCCTAGATTTGTCCTGGTCACAAGAGCCTTGCATTAAAGAAGTTGTGAGTTTCCTTCACTCTCACCTTAGTACTACTGAAACAGAAATGAGTCTGCTCAAGTTGTTAAGAAAACATTTATGAGAATGGGCAAGCAGTGAGATGAGATATAGCTGGGACTGCTGACAGAGTGCTACTAGTGGTGCAAAGAGCAGTGCTGGGAGGCCGAGCAGCTGCCAGGGCTCAGCCCTGTAGCACATCCTCCTGGTCTTTTTGAAGCTCTGATGTGAGGAGCAAGAGAAGAATTTCCTGCTTACACCCGCGTTACACCCTGAGGCAGGCCAGGGGTTACACCGCTGAGCAAGCAGGACTGATTAAACGCCACCGTCGTTCTTAAATGGAAAGCAAATCCTGAGAGGTGCTGAGACCAATACCTGTTGCGTATTTATATTGTGCAGCCAGTCAATGATTGTCCTGAGTGTGCTGAAAAGCAGAACAAAATTAAGCATGCATCCTCTTAGGAGCTTGCTGGAGAATAAGGGAGCAACTTGCAGTCAAAGTGTGGGCTGGATCTAGTGAAGATTTGTGCTCATCTCCTGATCTCGCCACATAATCCTTCTCCTAGCCCATTGCTTCCTTCCCTTTCCCTCCGTGTCACAGACAGCTGCTTGCTGGGGTGGCCTGGCAGGGCCTGGCTGTCAGCGCAGCCCTGTGATGAGGTGTGGAAAAGGCAGGGGCTGTGGGGACGGGCTGGTAAGCATATACAAACCAGACATTCGGTAGCTGGGCAAATCAATTCAGAGAGGTGTCACATTTGCAGAATGGTGGTACCTATCTATCGCAGTCTTTTAACTGCTAACAAACAGTAGGAATATTGCAGCTTCTCCGCCTTTGCCATCACTTCCCCCAGGCTGATGACCTTCTCAGCCAGAAGGTTGTGCTGCTGAAAGTGAGAAATGACATTTTTTTTGACTGTTGTGCTTGTCTTGTAACAGAAGTATGAGCTATGAGGAGTGAAATGTCAGCACTGGAATCACTGACTGTGACCTGCATTTGTGTCACTGAGTGTCTATCTATCTTTGAAAGAGCTTATAGTGGGTGAGGGAGCTGCAGGGAGAGGTGTAACACGTTATCTTTGTTTCATTCTTGAATTGTTTTTTTCAGTGCCAAAGATATGAAACATCGTCTGGGCTTCTTGCTGCAGAAGTCAGATTCCTGTGACTACAGCTCTTCCCAGGGCAAGAAGGAGAAAATATCTCCTACCCAGAGGTAAGAGCAAATGTGGCCGTATAGTTAAGTCCAGGCTGGCTGCAGTATGTTTGTTTGCTCCTTCAGTGAGCTGAATTCACTAGCGTTGCTACTGCTGCTGCTTCCCAGTATGTGCTGAAGGCCTATATGTTTGACTCCAGCGTGGGCAATAGCCCTCAAGTACTGATGACAGTCCCTTTCCAAGAAGAAGGTTGAACTAAAGACTTCTCGAGATCTCTTCCCACCAACGTTCCTGTGATTCAAAACATGTGCGCCTAAGGAAAGATTTGTGTAGTCTCCTGCACAGGGGAACAAGGCCATCATAAGACCAACTGTGGCTTTACATATTTCAGAATCAGCAGCACTGCCTTTTTGAGGCAGATTTGTGCAATGGTCCACACAACTACGCAGAATTATTGGCAAAGAAAACAGACAGAGCAGCCTGTCAAGGTATTGCTGCTCTCACTGAGGTTTAAGCAGATGTTGTCCTCTTCAGGGAGAACTCCAAAGGCCAAGACACATCCCTGGAACAGATGAGCCCTAGGATGTTCTGGTATGGTAGGGAGATGAATGCAGGATGTGCAAATGTGGTATGCTAGTTCCCACATTCCTCCCTCTTCTCCATAACTGGTGTTCCTCTGACAGGTTAAAGAAATCAGACCCTTTGGAGCTCGCTGATGTAACCTGTAAGAGTGATTCCCCCAGAGAAAGATGCAGCCAGCTAACAAAATAAGCAAATAGCTGTTTTTCCAGGAAAATTCCCTTCCAGCCCCTGGCTGGTGACTGAGAACGCGAACTGGAATTTCCATAGATTGGATCTGGGATCCCCAGAGGTCCCCTGCAAATGAAGCAGACATTTCCTTCTTGTTCTCATGTGTATGCTTTTGAACAGTCATGGAAAGAGACTTTGTAATGGTACTGAAAAAAACCCTAATCTGTCCTTTCTATACTCCCCTTAAACCTTCTCTGTATATGTTCCTTTGTCTCCTTTTAGGGTTAGCCAAGAGGAAGTCAAAAAGTGGGCAGACTCTTTGGAAAACTTGATCCATCATGACCGTAAGTAGAGAGGGCCCTTCTGCTGGAGATGTTGAGGGGGAGTCAGTGTGCTGAGCAGTCCCTGGAGGTGGCACGGGACATGTTATCTTTTGTTTCCTGGCAGCACACAGTAGCTCCTTTGGCCACCCAGACCACTGGGAGGGATGATGAAGTTTGTCTGATCCAAGGGATAATACATTGTGAATATGTTGTGCATGGGGCCTCAGCCTACTACCGAGTTGTTCCTTTTGTGAACGCAATTAGGAGAAAAAAAGGCCCTGCACCCAAGGCTCTGTGGGCTGCAGGCTCCCATGCTGTCCTCTGGCCTGCTAGGAGGAGATCTGTTACAGTTTCAGCTGATTCTCTGCTACGGACCCTCACATGTCTCATTTTCCATTGCAAGAGAAGAGAATCCATTGAGCTAAATCCGAGTTGCACAGCTGCTCGGCAGTCAGCAGTGCCCCTCCAGACAAGTGTGCTTAGTCCGTCCTGCTTCCCCGCTCACCTCCGCTCTGCATGCTGCCTGCTGCGGTCGTCACAGTGATGCCACACTTGTTTCCCTTCCTCCCTCCCTTCTCCCCAGACAGTGGTCTCCTAGGTGCCCTGTTTTAGTCCTTGTGCAAGCTGATCTCAGCGTGGCCGAGACTGCACCACACAGCAGGTTAAACAAGAGCCAGAAAGTGGAGAAACTGTTTCCAGCTGAGCCCACTGATGGGAGACTTTGTCTTCCCATCAGTTCCAGGCTAAACTTATGTCCTTGAGGTTTCCTTCACGCCATTCCCATGGCCTGAGACAGCATGTGTTGGTTGTCTCCTCAAGGCCTCCTGGGGACACATGATTTGCGTGTGTTCTCCTGGCTGTGTCACTGAAGGTCACTGTGTGGGAGCAGGCAGCTGAGGACCCACGCGTGACATCCCTTTGGGGCCTGTCTGAATTCCAACTTCCCTCAGCCTGCACAAGTGACCGCCATGGAGACAGGCAGGCGTCCCCAGCTGCCTGCTGCAAGGGAGTTGTTCGTTCAGCTCTGGGAGGGAGAACCCAACGTTGCTGTTTGCTGAGGCATTGGAGTTCACAGGCACTTCCAGTCACAAGAACCAACAGTCTGACCTGCTCTGGTTTTCCTCTAAACAATCTAGGAGGACTGGCTGCTTTCCGGGCTTTTCTCAAATCTGAGTACAGTGAAGAAAACATTGAGTTCTGGGTCAGCTGTGAGGAGTACAAGAAAACCAAGTCGCCAGCCAAGCTCAGCCCCAAGGCCAGAAAGATCTACGATGAGTTCATCTCTGTGCAGGCAACGAAAGAGGTATGTGCCCCATCTCTTAGAGAACATTCCTGGGCATAGGCATCACCCCAAATTCTGAACCAGGCCAGAAACACAGAGGAACAGAGGTCTGGTAGTGTCACAGAAGTTGAAGGGTGCTGCTCCTCTTCTCATTAGCAAGGGAATGATGCCATTTTTGTTGCTTTAAAATTAAATTTGGCCACAGTGAAACCAGTGTGGTTCAGTTAACAACCACATGGCTATTCCACATCTCAAGTGGGAAAAGCCTTAGATCTCCCCCCCGCGTCCCGTGCTCTGGCTACTCCTGTGCAATGACTTGAGTTTACTGGCTGATTGCGCCCAGAGGCATATGTGCCAGTCACTGGCAGCTGGCTGCACGGATTCTGCCAAGGGTGCAGTGTGTCAAATGGCCGTTTCAGACCACTACTCCTCAAGGCGAGCTTAAGCACGCTTGGTGGGGAGACATTTGGGTTCTCCCTTACCTGTGCTAGCATCTGGGACAGATGCTACTTATGCTGTCCCTCTGGCCTGCAGGTGAACCTGGATTCATGCACACGGGACAAGACAAGCCGGAATGTGCTGGAGCCTACACTGTCCTGCTTTGATGAGGCTCAGAGAAAAATATTCACTCTTATGGAGAAAGATTCTTACCGCCGTTTCCTCAAGTCCCACTTCTACCTGGACTTGGTCAGCCCACCTGGTACTGGCTACGGGCCTGAAAATTGCAAAAGAACCCACACTCACACCTTAGACTGCAACTCTAACATCGTCTCTCAGTGTGCCTGAACCTGCAGCAAGCCAGGAGCGGGCAGGGCTGTTGCAGGAGTATACGGCAGCAAAAGCATTCATTGGCATGAAGCAACAGAGCTGTCTCCAGTAGCTGTCTAATATCCCAGTTGTGTCCCATGTCATGCAACAGTCAGCATTTGTAACCCAAGTCAGGCTCAGTTTGTGTAGCAAACCCTCCTGTGACTCCATCGATGTAGGAGCCCTGGAGTCTGTTGGACATGAAAGCTGGGTGAAATCCTTGTCTGTCTGCTGTGTTTTTGATGTGCATTGTGAGCCCGGCTGGGCTGGTGCTGTCGGGAAAAGGTGTACACACTCAAACCCAGCACTAACCACAAAGGGTCCAGACATGCAATGTCGCAGTGAGGCACCTAGAAAGGAGCAGGGGAAAGAGGAAGCCGAGGGAAGTGTTGGGGACTGTGATCTCCTCCTTTATAATCAGCAAAAGCTTAGATAGAAAGGACTTTCTCTGGTCCTTAGCTGTTCATAGAGCTCCCAAATATCCAGGCTTTCAGTAGCAGTTGCTCAGAACTCAAGCTGTCTTGCATTACGCTAGTCAGATTTAGGAACGGCTCTTACCCTTTCTTAAAGGGGCACCAAAACTTTCCAGACTAGCAAACAGCCTCCCTTGGTCATTACAGCCAAAATTGCATGAAAGCCCTCCCCCGTGGCTGCTTTTCCTGCTATAACATCTAATTTATGCTGGCCAAGGATCTTTCCTAGGGCTGTACAGAGCTGTTATTTTGGGAAAGGTTCATTCTGTCAATAATAATTGTATCTTTCAAGCTCTCAGATTAAAAACACCTTCCTAATACCATAAGTGAGCAGAGCTGTTTCCTTCCCTCTCAGACTGGCAAGTGTATATTACTAACTCTGGGAGGGCCGTCTGATTTCAGGTTTGCCTGCCCTCCTTTGTCTGAGGCGGTTTGTGATTGGGATAGGATCACTACTGCACCAGCTGAGGAGAAGAGGCCATGCTTGGGAATACTTGACACTGAATACTTTTATTATACTTTTATTATTTATGTGAGTCTATAATTTGGTAGTAGCGTTACTTGTTTTTTCCTTGAAAGTGGTAAGAGGAATGTGTTAGTCTCATTGCTGCTCCAGGGTTCTGCTAGAAGACAATTTATTTTTTAATCGCTATGGTTAGATTTGGCCTTCGCTCAGGGCCCTTGGGACCTGACACTGACCTGCACTTGAAGGCACAAGGAATAAGTGCTGAGCTTGCCATCTTGGGCTGGAGGTACCAGGCATTTCCAGTGAGCAGCTGGAAGCGCCTGCTCTGAGCAGACCCATGGCTGTAGGTCCTGCTCTCCTCGGGGCTTGGTCTTTCCTTAGTTTGGATAGAGCTGCTCTGACAACCATGTATTCCTCACTCTGCATCCCAGTCCAGACAACATTTCTCACACTGGGGTTTTGACATGGCAGGAGAAGGTTGTAGTTTTCACAGTAGGCACTTCCAGGCCCACAGAGAAACAACTCTTTTAGTACTCGCTTTATTTGGTATTTATTAGCTCATATTGAAACACACAAGCCTGCATGTTGAGCTAAAAGATGGAGAGGCTTTTTTAGGATCTCAGCCAGCTCTGAACTTACCAAGCACGTGGCTGTGTTTTATTTTCCCCTGGTACCGGGAACTCCTGATAACCCTTGAAAAAATGTATCTGTGCTTAAATAAGGACAAATACCCTCTAAATAAAAGATATTTGCATTAGTCCCTTCTAAAATGTCATTCTGTGAAACCAATAAGCACAGATACAGTTCATTGACTAAGGTTACTTTAAAAAAGTCATTTTACAAATGACTTCACTCCAAGATTGTTTTAAGTCATGGAAAGATGAAACAGCCATTATATCTATCAGATACCCTGTTCAGAGGAACCCAGACCCTTTCAGTTATTTACGGTCTTTCAGGTATTTCAGTTATATTTGGTGAAAGGGGTCGCGGCAGCCCAGGAGCCCAGCTGCAGCCCTGTCCAAGGAGCAGTGCTGCGCTGCAGCTGGCGCGAGCCTGGCCTGTCCTGCTCTGTGCCAGGGAAAACTCGGGGGAGCGTTTCCCCCTTGCCCAGGAGGACGTTTTCCTGGCCAGAGCTCCAGAGGGGAACACGTTTCGGCTCAACTGTGTGAAGCTGCTGGCTGAGGACAGCGTGGGTGCAGGGTGAGCAGGGCTGGCTTTTGCTCAGTCCCTGCCACAGTGAATAAATCTTGCACCTTACTGCAAAAGAGACAAAATAAATAGTCTATCAAGATAGTAGCAGAAATATGTTTATATATGGATTACTGAGTGGTACAGGAATATGAATTAACATAGCCAGTTCCTCAGTGCACACCGATGTCCCACGTCTTCACCATGCAATGGGGCTCTTACTAGTGGACATCCCACGGGAGAACTTCAAGCTAAAAAATGGCTGCTCAGTTGTGTAGGGAGCCCATCTCCCATGATGGCCACTGTCCAGTCCTTGGCCACGCCACTTGGCACCCTCCAGCCGGGGTGCTTCAACATGTGGCTAAGGTGCAGGGAGGGTCTGGGCGAGAGTTCGGACGTGCTCAGCCTTGCGCGCAGCAGCGCCCACCACTGCCTTGCAGTGAAGCGGCCAAGCCTGGACTGGGGCAGGTCATCCTGCTGCCAGCACGTGGGGAGCCTTGACAGGCCAGCGGAGACTGGGGACACCAAGTTAACTGGAAAACACACAGCAAATAATGCCCAGGGTGGGAGGGAAGCAGCAAGCAGGGGGCACCGAGTGGTAGCAGGGAGCTCACCCCTCCATGGCCCTGGGCAGGAGCTGGGGATGCCCAAAGCTGAGCTGGACGCCAGGGACTGCACGCTGCAGCATGGGGTTGCCTTGCCCCACGGCAGCGAGGCAGGGACCCCCAGCCACCACAGGGAGTGAGACCCACCACCTGCCCCTGCTCGGCCACGGTTGCCCCACAGCTCTGCACAGGCAGGCACAGGCTAAGGGCATGGGGGCTATTTCTGGGGGTCTTTGGGGAGACGCATGTTCATTTTCACTCTAGGGAAGGCTGAGGGGGTTGTGCTAAACCCATGCAGGCTCACCTCTGACAGACCTGAAGCCCTGTCTGGCAATTCTGCACTTTAAATCACTGACTCACTGGAGATCAAGGTGCCAATGTTAGGAGTAGACGTGTGTGTGTGTGTGTGCTTGTATATGTCTATAATGGTACAGATATGTAATAGTATGTGTATGGTGCTCATACATATGCCAGCTTTGATAAGAGCAAGAGTGACAAAATACATGTACTATTTCCTGCTAGAAATATGACAACTGGTATTGACCCTACAATAAATGTTTCTTAGCCTTCAGAAAGCTCAGCGGCAGGGTAAATGCAGCCACTGCCACGTTTCTGGGGCGTGCGTGCTGGAGTGATTAGCCAAACGCCCATCCTACCCAAACACAACTTCACCAGCCTCCGCTGGGAGAACGCCGTTTGCACAGCGCTCCTGCGAGCCACAGCCGTGTCGGGCCCTGCTGGGCACCACGGCACATCCTGGCACATGCCGCCAGACTCACACCTTCACCATCCCGAAGTGCAAACGCGGAGCAGTCACGGCTGCGTGGGGAGTGGCACTGAACTTGGCCAAGGACGTGCTTCTCACAGACCTCAGGAGGTTGCCCATGGGCTACCAAGGAGCCTGCGCATTCGTCCTGCAAGCGAGTCTTGGCTTGAGCTTCCTGGCCAACTTTTTCTGTCCAACGTTTGATGCTCAGTTGGCGCTTCTAGCTGATGCCTTGGTAGAAGCTATTTCACCTCTCCTGATTCTGGCCTCCACCTTTCTTTTTGATACCTACATAGCAAGACGCTTTCTGCCCATGCGTCACTGTTGCAGCTCATGACACCTCAGGTTTGTCTCACACATAGCAATTCACCCTTCAGCAGGGGATGTTTCCGAGAATCCAGCTCACTACAGTATTGGCATTGGCATTTAACTGTGAATCTTATGGGAGTAACTTGAAATATATGCTGAGTTATTAAGTAAAAATGGAATATATGACTATGAATGGAATATATCTTTCTGCAGGGAAGTCTGTTTGGTTTTGCATTTCTAAGACTAGTGCCGTGAATGAGGAGCATAAACACACCAAACCCAGGCTGTGCTGATATCACTGTGTGAAGATGCTGGGACCGCGGCAGAGCCTACGTATGGACCACGGGCAGTGGGAACACCCTGTATTACAACTGCTAAACCAGCCTACCCTCTTGCTCTAAGCCCTGGTCTTGCCTCTTATTCATCATATACCAGCTCTGGGTAGCAAACACTGCTGGGGAGACCCCACACCGTTTTGAAGACTAGACTTGCACTTTCTGACGGCAGAGGCATTATCTGCTTGGGCTCCCCCTGCCATGCGTTGGCCCCGTTGCAGCTCTGGTGACCTGTGGCAGCCCAAGCCGACCCCGCGCTCGCCTCCAAGAAATGCCCTGTGGGCATCACCCGCTGCCACTCAAACACCAGCTTTCCCAGGCCATTTGCTGGGGAGAAAAAAAGCCAATGTGCAGAGTGCATTTGGGATCGCCTTCATCTTTCCTCTGCCCCTCCATCCCTGCCTGGAAAGCGCAGCCCACTTCCTGCAGCTAGAGATGTATTTTTACTCATCACCATAGTGACAACATGTAAATATTTGGGGCTGCTGGGGTTTTGATCAGATTTTTTTTTAAGTCTTTAAGAGGTTGGAAAACCCTTTGTTTATGTTATTGCATTTTGCATGGAGTCTCATTATTTGTAGTTTAAGTACAGCAGTCTGAGGGTGGGTGGCTGCCCTGAGAGGCCTCCTGGGAGCATATTCACATATATTTTAAATGTATATGTTGGACTGCCTGCTGTCCAGGTGGATCCACACAGCACGCTCCTTGCAAGCCATGGCCCTGCGGTGGCTGCACCGGGAGCTTGTCCCAGGGACGACATATTCACAAGCCAAGGAGTTACTACGTTCACATCAGAGAACTCGCCAGGTCGAGATTGAAATGAGACCCCAGCTTCCTTTTATATATGCCTTTGCCCTGTTGTTAGGTGCGATATCTTCTGTTAGTAAAGTGGGCTGGGTTTGAATCATTTGCAAAGAACTGGCCTTTTTAAGAGACAGCCTTAAAAACACATGCCCTGGCAGGCTGGAGGAGACTGAAGAGAGAGGAGCAGGCTTCACAAACTCGGCAGAGTTTGTCACCTGTTCAAGAAGACAGCGTTTTATTCCTCATATTTCAATTTTTTTGTCTTTTTTTTTTCTTTTTGGAATTGGATCTGAATAGTTCCAAATAACAGCTTTTTTTCCCCCCAGCACGGTATTCCTCCCTCGTCTAATCGACTGCCCTCGTTTGGGTTTGTGCAGAAGCATCGCTTTGGCGTGCCTACTACAGAGAGAAGCAACTGCAAGGAGAAACCGCGGCAGCGACGTCCCCAGACATGCATCCGAGCGCGCCGGCAGCCACCTCTGCAGCGTTGCTTGAGGCTGTGCGTAGGCACCAGGGACTGGGGGGCAGACTGGAAGCGCTGAGCTCAGGGACTCATGCAAGCGGCTGGAGCAGGCAGGAGGCCTGCTTTGCTAAACAGCCCCAGTGCTTTGAACGGACAGGTTTGGTTTTATCCCTCTGGCACCCTCCCAGGCGCAGCCGTTGGGCGAGGAGCGAGGAGCGCTGCCTGCTGGCTCTGCCTCTCGCCTGGCGCCAGCTATGGCGCCCTGGGCGGCACGGCCTCGGGCTCCCTCCCTTCCCTACGGATGTAATTGCTGTCTGTCACCTTTGCTTCACCCGACAGCCAAATCAAAGAACTGATCCCAGAGCAGCTGCGGGCACCAGCCCTCCCCCTCGTGCACGCGGCCGCGGACCAGCGTCTGCAGGCGCCGCGGCACTAGGCAGCGCTAAGCTGTGGCACACACGTGGCAGGAGCTTGCAACAGAAACGGTTGCCCAGGGGCACTTTGCAAGGGACCAGAGGGCTGGGGGTGGAAGCAGCTGGAGGGGCAGCAGGGCAGTTTGTCTGTGTTAAACCCAGCACCCAGAATCCCCCCAGCAGCACTGAGAGGGGGCCTGCAAGGCAGAGGCTGGCATCTGAAAACCTCTGGATAAAGATGAGCGTCACAGCCCCAGGGAAGCACGCCCTGGCCCTGGCCCTGGCCCTGGCCCTGGCCCTGGCCCTGGCCCCCATGCTCCAGCTGCTGTGGGGTCACAGCTGATATCAGCTGCTCAGCTGCTTCCACTGCCCCCACCTAAAATCCAGGGGAGGTTCACCAGGTGTTTCTGCTAATTGGTCTTTTGATGAGAGAGGACTGAGAGTGTAAGAGAGGAGACATCTGGCATCTCTGATGGAGTCCAAAGCACTGGGAGAGATGTTTAGCAACACTCCTGAGTGCCCTTTGAGGGTGGCAATGAGAAAGCGAAGCAGCGAGAGGAGAAGGCGATCAGACAGAAGCGGTGGGATCACTCATGGGGAGTGCCTCGCACAGCCTGGCCAGGTTGCTACTTGATCAACTCCTGATAAAACTCTGACCGCACAAATCTCGGCAGGGAGTCCTTCTCCATCAGGGCAAAGATCCTCTTCTGGGCCATGTCAAAGCTGCTCACTGATGGCTCCACCAGGTTCTTCATGGTCATGGCTTTGGTGAAGTGGTCAATATTCACCTGTGATGGGAGTGTAAGAGTGATGGTGACTCTGCCCTTCCTGAGTGGAGGGAGATGGGCATCTCCCTGGCCTGCTTTCTGCCACCAACAGCCAGGTACAGATTATGGGGAGCAAGTGAATCAGGTTGGCTTGTTTGGGGGGGACAAATCTGTAATGATGATTGAAGACTCTTCTGCAGTGTGGCTAGCCTTGCGGGGAGGAGGACTACAGTAACAGTGGCCATGCTTTAAGATTAATGTCAATGCAAGGTGCCTGGCTGCGGCCCCTCTGTGGGGAGAGGGGGCTGGATGTGTGCTATGAGCGCCTGCAGCAGGTATTAGCCCAGGAAAGGCTGCTCTGAGGGGCGGCTCAGCCTGCAGCCAGGTGTTGGGGGAACAGAGCCTGTCGGGGCTGCCCCTCGGTGAGGGGACCGTCGTCCCCAGCCCCTGGGACACTGACCTCCTTAGGTGCCTCGGTCTGGATGAACTCCTCGTAAATCTTCTTGGCCTTCTCCACCATCTTCGCAGGAGACTTGGTTTTCTTGTAGTCCTCACAGGCGACCCAGAACTCGACGTTCTCCTCGCTGAACTCGGAGCGCAGGAAGCTGCTGAAGCTGGCGAGCCCGTCTGCAGGGGAGCGTGGGGCCGCCGCTGAGCGCCGGCGGCCAGGGAGGCATGGGACGGCGTTGCATGCACATCGGGAGGGGATTCTAGGCCAAGCTCGGGATGGGCCGAGCGGGGCTGTGGGGTGGGCTCTGGGTGACCCTGGAGGTGGCGTGGGGCTGGAAAAGGGCTTTCCCTGGGCCAGCTCATCCTTCTGCAAGCACCAGCGGCCCCAGTGCCCCTAGGCTCCTGGGGAAGCGGTGGATGTGCTGCATCGTGAAACCAGCCTTGGAAGGGGGGAAAAAATGCCACAGACTGGCATGGGGCTGATGGGCAGGAGCCCCTGGGCAGCAGGGCAGGGTGGTGGTGTGAACTTACAGGTATTTTGCAGGAGCTTTTCCAGGGAATCGCGCCACTGCAAAGCCTCCTCTGGTGATGGCCTAAAGGGAGGAAAGAAAAAAAAAAACAGGTAGTCCATGGTTGCAGCACAGGGGTCTGGGCTTTATTTTTTAAGGAGCAGGGGGGGGGGGGGGTGTCTTTTAAAAAATTTTTTAGAGGAAAGAGCTATGAAGCTTGTTGCAGACCTGGGGCACTGGGTGCACAGGGAGCAGTTTTGTAGTTAGTTTACCCAGAGGGAGGTGAGGGTGTGACTGAATTGCAGCATATGATATCTTCGTCTTGAGGATAAGCCAAGTGTCCACGTACCCTGCAGTTTAGCTGGGAAAGTCGGGACGAGGGCTGAGGTCCTGGAGCTAGTGCAGGTGAATCCCCAAGGGATGGGTTTTGAGCAGAGACGTGGCTCACCCTGAAGTGAACCTGCTCTGTTGCTCGCAGCTCTCGCTGGCTTTGCCTAGCACAAGTGCAACCACGCAGCACCTTCCTGCCCCGCTCCTGTGCACGGCTGGGAAGGCAGGATGCAGCTGCAGCTCCTGCTGGTGCCTGTCCCTCTCCTGGGTGGGCTCAGTGGTGCTGCCTGGGACCGGGAGGCTGCGCTGGGACTTGCTGTGCTGCCCTTGCCCAGTGCTTTGCTTTCACTACTTTTTTTTAATCTCTTCCAGCTGGGAAGCGTCCCTGAACCTCCTGCTGCGTCCAGAGGCCGGTGTCTTGGTGATGGGACGAGCGTCTCTCGCCTCTGACTCCCTGCCATTTCCCCAGTGCCTTCCCGCGCCGAGACGCTTGAGCAGCCCGTCTCCATCGGGACACGGGCCGGGTCGGCGGAGAAGGATGCTTCCCCGGGGTGAGGGAAGGAGGACAGGATGGTTTTGGCTCCGTGTCCCCACGGGGCCACAGCTGGGGTCCCCCCCCCTCCGCTCCCACAGCCTGCCGGCCCCATTCCCACGCCCCGCGGCAGGGCAGGACGCCCGCTTGCACTCCTCCCGCGCAAGTGAAAACCTTCAGTGCTTTTCAGGTGGGTGTGGGGTGGGATTTTCTGTTGGATCATGCTGTCCCGCCTGAGCCGGTGGCATGCTTCTGGGGCTGGAAAGCTGTGTGAGCAGCACCTGTGCCCAGGGAAGGCAGGGGCCGGACTGCCCCTGGGGTGCTGCAGCCAGCCCGATGCTGTTAAAAGCAGAGTAAATGCTCCCCAGCAGCAGCACAGTTCAGTTGCAAGCAGCAATCTGCAAAGTCTGCCTGGGTGTAGTTCAAGCTAGACTGAGGAGGGTGCGAGGACCTGCTCCCCTCCCTGTGAGGCTGGCTGCTTTCCCCTGAGCCCAGGTGCCAGCGGTGCCACCTCCCAGTCGCAGGCAGTGATTTGGGCTGGCACAGACAGGGTTTGCCTCCTCCAGTGACAAGCTGGCTGTGATTAACGGCGCCGGTCTGGAGGCACTGGCGCGCTCAGAGCTGCTGTGCTACGCGGAGCTGGTAACTACCTCGGCGGCTGCCTACGTGCTGCTCAAGGTGTTGTTGCACAGAGCGGCCCCTGAGCGGACAGCTTCCCCCCCGGCCGGGTGCTGGAGTCAATGATGGAGAGCTCAAAGGAAAAAGCAAATCCGTGCTCAGCAGTCTGCCCCCCTACCCAAAGCAGGGGCAGCGGGGAGGCAGGGTTCAGTGAACGGCAGAGGTGGCACTTGCAGCTGAGCTGAGGGACTCCCCGGCATGAGACGTTGTGGTGGCCCAAAAAGCATGTAGGTTCAGGAAAACATCAGGGAAGTGCATGGGAGAGGAATCTGCTGAGGGGAGACTGGCAGAAACGCAAGGTTTGCTCAGGTTACGTATCAGGTGCCCTTTTGTTATTAACCTGTCGTTACCCAGCAGTAAGGGCTGGTGATTAGGGGTAATTTGCTTTCTGGATCCTGAAACATGTTCACATTTGCTATCAAGGATCATGACCCCCAAGAATTTATGCATATCTTTCCCCAGCCAGGCACGCACGCTCTCCCTGCGAGACCTTTTCCTTGTCTCCTCACCCCACGGTGAGTGTGAGGAAAAGCACCTTGCTGTAGTGGCCTGATACAATCCAAGAATCCAGATTTCCTAGAAATTACAAAATTCACTTTTGCATTAGGTGAATGTCCCAGGGATCATATTAAGTGAGACTGAGATGCTCATTGATGAATGATAGTTGGGCTGAGCAACAATAAAATGCAGGAGAAAAAAACTCCTTCAGCTAGCAGGGAGTGAATATGCTCTCTGGTTTTCAGCAGG